CAATGATCTATATTTAAAAAAAAACAAATTGATTAGTGAAGAAAAAATATTCAATTAATAAATTTATCTAAATCTCATTATAATTTTTTGTTTGTTCATTACGAATATATTGATTTTTCATTTTTAAATTATTTAGTTGACTTGTTTGAAATTATATAAAATTAAATATTATAATTAAAAGAAAGCAATACATACCGAAAACAATACGTTAATCAAGATCATTTTTTTCAATAATTCGCAGAATAATGTAGCAGTTTTCACTTAAAATTTATAATATTATTTTAAATAAATTGACAAAAATTTCGTACAATTGTAACTAAATGAAAATTAAAAGTAATAATATAATTTAACCAGCAAACAATAAAGTCTTTATGTAAGCATAATATAATATATTATAAATACATAATATATATATATATGTATATATATACAACAAATTATTCTTTTTCTTAATACCACCAAAGAGTTAATACATAACATTAAAAAAATCTAAATTAAATTTTCATGACAATTATAAATCTCTATAATAAGTTAAAATATTATTATTATATTATATTATAATTGTTATGATACAGTGAAAAATTATTTTTTAAAATTTTGCCTTTTTTTTATAAAAGATAAACATTTTATTTTATTTCTCTTCTTACATGCAATTTCAGTCTTATAAGAACAACGCAATCAAATGTTTTAAATTAATCAATGACTTCAAATGCATACATTAGATAACTACATTAAACTTTCGATTAAAATTACATTTGAATTAAATCCATACATATTGTATGATAATTGGATATTCAAATAAAAATAAGATCAATATATGGCAATAGAGTTATGAAACTTGTAACAGTTATAAAAGGATATGAAGCAAAAATCAAAGAAAAATATATACTTTATCTAATTTATAGAAATATGTAAAAATCATTATCAATTTTTTAATGAATAGAACAGTTAAAATCAATTAAAAATTAATTCCTATATAAATTTGAATAGTGAATTCATTAACAAATTTTAAATACAATATTTTAAATACAGGGCCCGACTGAAAAACGGGTGATTATAAATAGATGGTTATTAAGTTTTGAATATTTTTAAATAAATTTTCTTTTACAAGATTTTACATAACATAATTTGTTGTTTGGTTTTGAAGACAATATCACGTGCAAATCCTCTCCCCATCTTCAAAGTATGTCATTCAGGCATAGAGTAGCGCATCATATTCAAGAATATGTGATTGCATGACGAAGCTTTGTCTTAAATTTCAATATTTTGTGGACGATGTTCATTTACTTCGAGGATGCATAGAGTGTCTGTGTATCAATGGAGATCATTGGCGTGAATGCTTTCTTCAAAACATGAATGGCAAAAAGTTATGTTATTTGAAATCTTGTACATGAAAATTCATTTTAACATATTTAAAAATTAATGTCCATCGGACCCTGTATAATTCAGCAGTTATATATTCAATAAT